CAACTAAGCTTAATTGATTTTATTTCAAAAAATCAAATAAATATTTTTGGAATTTCAGAAATCTATTTATCTAACAAAAAAGCAAAATTTTCAACTCTTTCACAAAAACTTATAACTTATAAATACTTCTAAACATCAAGTAATGCTCATCAAGATAGTGTAGAAATATTAATTCATGAATTAATTGCAAAGCATATTGAAAAAATCCAAACTTATAAAAACTTTCTTCTAAAAATTATTATTTTTTTAAAAAATCTTTATATTAAACTAATTCAACTGTACTTTCCAATTCAAGAAAAAAAAACAGCTCTAAAAAGACATTCTTTTATATCTTACTCTAATTCTTAACAAAACCAATTACAAAATAATCTTAATAAGAGACATAAACAAAGTTACAAATCTAAAACTAGATAGACTGCTACAAAAAAAGTTTAAACATACTTAAACACTTCTTTTTAAGACTTCTTAAATCTTTTCAATTTTATAACACCTACAGGCTTTTTTTTTTTTGCAGTTTCTATATTCTTCTATATACATAATAACAGCTATAGCAGAATTAACTAAATATGAACTAATATTTATATTATACTTTTAAACTATGCTGACATCTTACTGAACTCATTTACCTCAAATAATCACTCAATAGTATTACTTAAACTTACAATTAATATATCTAAAATTAATATACAACTCCAAACAAGAACCATCTATCAATGAAAACTTACACAAAATGAATAAATCAAAAACTATCAAAACTATACTAAACAAAACTTTTAACAACTTTTTTTAATTATTACCAACATTACTTACAGCTCAGAACTCAATAATGCTTAGAATAAAATTAACAAAACTTTAACCAAAATAGTCCAAAAATATATTTTATTTAAAAGAACTAAAATAAACCTATTTAATGATAAACAACAACACCCTTTCTCTTATTATCTTATAAATAACTTAAACAGACAATTTTACTTAAATTATTCCTTACAAACCTAATTTTACACAAATTTACAACTCATATATTAATAAATACTCACAAAACACATTACTACTACTCTTACAACTAATACTAACTATTAACACCTCTGACTTTACTACTTTATTAAACTTTTTTATTACTAAATAAAAACTTTCAAAACCCAAATTTGTAAAGAAAAATAAAAATAAAAAATACTCTAAAAGAAATTTAAAATAAACTAAAAGAAAGAAACAATAACTTTTATTAAAACTTCAAAATATTTTTTTAAAATGTTTTAGAAAAACATAATAATAATATTAATATAAATAGTTTACTATTTAACAATATACTTACTACTTAACCAACTGAAATAATACAAGCCTTAAAATTCCACTTTTAAGGTTATTTTCAAAAATTACTATATATATCAATTCAAGAAAATACTAAATTTTATGAACTTTACAAACTTTACTCAGAAAATAAATCTCTTTTTAATAACCTATTTTTAGAAATTACTTTGGAGAAATAAAACAAAGTCATATATAACCTTTTAAAACAAAAAGCTACTATCCTATTAGAAACAAATTATGAATACCTAAAACATCTAAACTTCAAAGTCCAAAATATTATTTATCTCTTTCTAACAAAATGTTTTTACTACAACAAATACCAACAATATAAAAAACATTTAATATTTTTTTAATTTCAAAAAAATTCTTATAGGACTTTACTTTAGATCAGTTAAACCTATTTTCCTTAACAAACCTATAAAAAAATATTTTATCAAAATTTTTACTACATGTTTTGACCAAACTATTAACCAACATTATCTACTAAATAATCTTAACTTTGTAGCAACTAAAAACAGTTCTATCTGCATTCTTATACAAATATTAATTAATACAATTAAATATTAAAAACTAATAATAAAGAAGCTTAGATAATCTTTTAAGATATGTTCAAAGCTTTTGACCAAATTAATATCAAACAACTGCTAGATGCTTGTAAACATATTGGTATTTTTCAACCTGGTTTAAATTTCATAGAATACTTATATCAAGATAGAAAAGTAAAGCAATTATAGCCTATAGTTTTACTGATCTAATTACACTTCAATTAGATATAAAACAAAAAGAAACCTATTTTCTATTACTCTGAAAAATTTATTATAATTCTATTCTTAGTTATATAAACTCAAAATATAACTCAAAACTTCTTAAAATCTTATCATAATATTCTTTAGAAAGAAATTTTCTAACTATATTGACTTATACAATAATACTACTTTTTGCTTTTATGAATAATACAGTCTAGTACTATGAATCCAAAAATGATCTTTAAGAGATCTTAAATGACATATCAGAACTATACCAACTAAATAATATTCAAGTTAACTCATCTAACTCAGACCTTATTTACATTTCATTTAACAAAAAAGTGCTATTCAATACTATCTTTGATATAATATCTTTAAACTTTAACAATCAACCAATCTTATCTTACAAATTTAATAAAATAATTAGATATTTAAAAAGTTTTTTAGATACCAAAGGTTCTACTAAACTTATACTAAAAAAAACTTTAGCAAAACTTTTCAATTTATTTATATATATATTTTTTTTAAATATTAAGATGAATACTTGCAATTCAAAATTTTATTAATAGTATATTTGGCTAATAGTTGTATTACAATTATAGAGAACAATTATAAAAAAAGTGTACAACTAGCCACTTGTACAACTTTAGTCATTGTTTAATTTAATTGGTTTGCCTAAAGGTTCTATACTAGCTGCTATACCTAAAATCTGCTTGCAGATTCCCTATTTAACTATTCTAGTTTCTGTATTAACTTATTTATCTTTGCCTACCAATGATCCTAGTTGATGCTAATAAAAATATGCTATAACTACTAAGTTTTTAAAGCAGTTCACTTATATAAAAAATCTCTAATCTTGTACTAAACCTTTTAGAATCTTCTGTATTTTATTCTTATAACTAACCTAATATTGTTATAGCTAAGACCAATATTAGTAGTTAAGACATATTATTAAACTGCTATGCCCTTGTAAAGTTCATCCCAACTCCAGTACTAACTTTATAATATATCTCTACTACTTTGGTATTCAATTTAAGTTCTACCAAACTGCCAACCCAAATAGTTTAAAAAGGTAAATTATAACTATATCTTTGGTTTACATGTTCTCTGGCATATACCCTTTTCCTCTAAAATTTGAAAATTCTAGTGATCTGGTTGGTTATCTGGTTGGTTATCTGGTTCCTTTCCAAAAACCAACACATTTGTCTAGCTTTATAAGTTCTAGCTTCATTTCATGAACCTAGTCTTTACAGTAGCATTATTGAAAGTTTGAGTTACAACTCTACTTAGGTTTTCCAAATAGGCTTTTGTCTTTTTATCTGATTTCTGTAATTTACATAATTTAAAGACTTATTTTGGATTCACACTACCTGATACCAGTTTGTGTTTCTTTGTACAATATTGTATAAATGCCTAGACCTTCCAGTTACACTGATATGTTACAGGTTACAGATATCTAATTCTAATTAATTATAAAAACAGTTAATCATAATACAAAAAAATTTGCAAATTTCCATTATTACTAGGATTTAAACTCTAGACCTGCCACTTGAAGGTTAACAACCTATCTACTTCACTAGGTTATCACACTTCTCAATTTATTTATATTATCCAATACAAAAAACTTCTTTTTATACAAATATTCTAATTGTTTAATATTATTATATTATCATTAATAGAATACTTACTTTAAATATGTTCTTTTCTATAAAACAAACTTCAATAACTATTAAGCCTTCTAACAAAATGCACTAAATATATGCTACACCTATCTACTAATATAAACAATAACATACTTACCAACCTACAACTACTCAATATTTTAACATTTAACCAACTTATATTACAAGTTAGCAATAGTAATATAAAAAGTTGCTTCAATGCTAATATATGCCTGAATCAAATCTCTATATATTGGATCAAAAATTGGCTTCTTAAAATATAAAAACTTTTACTAACTCAGAATATAATTCTAACAAACTATAAGAAATCTATTAACTTTACTATAATATCTTAACTCTATTATCTATACAAAAATAATATTTTTATAAATAACACTCATCTAAATCAATTAATAACTTACAAACAAATTAACCAAATAAATAACATTTATAACTTCATTACATCACCTAACAACTCAACAACTCTAAGTCTTAAAAAATAATAAAATACTTTTTTTAAAACAATTACTTATAGCTAATAACTGCAACTTCTTTGAAAAAACATATATCTCAAAACTCTCAAATCTTTATAAGGTTCTATTTCAAAATGGTTTAAAATACTTTTAAACCAACTATTCTAATACCTTATATTACACATATAGCCCAACCTTTAACTTCAATCTATTAATTTATTTCTAAATATATTAAATCTTATTATATTTCATTTTATTGCCTTAAAAAATATATGGTCACTCTACATCTTACTTTTAGATTGGTATATTGACAAAATAACTAATATATCTAACTCTTAAATACTTTTTTAAAAATATTAAATTATTAACTTAATAACTAATACAATTTATATTTCTTTTATATCTACTAGTATTTTAAGTCAATTAAAATTTTATGACTAGGCTAAGCCATTAAATTTTTAATAGCTTAGCAGCTTAGCCAATAGATGGCCACTTCCAAAATTCAGCAGATTAGCCAAAATTTAGAGTTAGGTGTATCACATTAGACAATAATACTAGCCAACTATAATTGGTCAATTTTATTTAACATGAGTGACTAATCTAATATAGGTGTTATAATATTCTGTATATAAAGTAGTGATAGAGCGATTAGCTAACCAAAATTCATCTTCTAATTAATACAGCTAGTAGAAATGAAATAAGTCTAGCTACATTTTTTAATAGATTTATATATTTATTTTATTTTATACTGCTTTATTAACAATATAACAATATAAGTAATACTAAATGATTATTTTAATTTTTTAAAAAAATTAAATTTCTAATCCTGAATAGTAATTAAAAAGAAATAAATTTTCTTTTAAAAATAACAACTCACATATCTGATTTGAATCAAGTTGATTATGTTTATCAGTTAGTAAATTGCTAGCATCTGAGAACAAACACTTAGAAGAAACTGATTTAGCAAGTATAGCTAAATATATTCTTGCTTGAGATGCAAGAAATGGTAATGATTTTGCATATTTGCACCAAAATAATAGTAGGTTGTCTTTTTCATATTTAGGGTGATTCAAATCATGCTTAAGAACTAAAGGCAAACTATTGTACAACTGTAATTCGGTATCAAGTGATGATTGTGCTACAGTATTACTATTATTAAAGAACTTACTCATTATATGTTTTTGTGTGTTTTTAGTTAAAGAACCAGTAGTAGTACAAGTATAAGAATCAGATGATTCAATAATTTGTATACGAAGTAAGCTAATTGTCTCTGTTCTCTCTTTAACATTTAAAAAATATAAATTTTTAAATTGAGAATCCAGGTATGATGTAATTAATTCAGCTTCTTTTGACTCATCCCAATGCTTTGACATTGACTGATTAACTACAATACAAACTTCTTTAACTTTGGATGTAGCAAGCTTATCATAAACAGTATCAAGATGCTGAAAAAGCTTTCAAATTCTTAAATACATCATAACTTCTATAAATGTAATTAATTGTGCAAATGGTTGAAGAAGCATAGTCAGTTTATCCAGGCATTGCCATTTATAATCTTCCAAAAGAAGATTATGCAATGAATCACCATTATTTCTTACTTGTTAATTAACATCTTTTTGTAGTTGTTAAACCAATTGGTGAGCAGAATACTGAAAAAGTAAAAGCTGTTTAAGAAGTAAGTATATGGAATTCCACCTGGTAGCAGTATCACTACTAATTGGTTGAAGCTTTTTTAATTTTGAATATTGTTTTACAAAATAGCTTATCAAATTATTATGATACTTGTCTCAGTTACATAAAAAACTATTTAATTATTTTGCTTTTACAATTAATGCTTCTATTTTTTTTAATTTATTATTAACAGAAAGATGCAATGTATGAGCTGTACAATCAATATGAACAATACAAAGCTGCTTACAAGCTTTTATCATTGCAATAGCATTATCAGTCGATCTTCTGAATAATTTACTTAAAATATTCTATTTTATAAATGAATTATAAAGAAAGTCTTTGATTGCATCATCAGTATAAGGGTAAGAAAATTGTTAAATCATTAAAAGCACTTAATAAAGAATAAAATCATTTGAAAGCCAATGTATTGTTATTTCAATATAGGATGTATGGAATTGTGTCCACAAGTCAGTAGTAAAATTAAATGAAGTAAGAGTTTCTTTAATCAAATTTTTTAAATTTAATTCACTAAATATAACTGATAATGCAATTTTTTGCTTTATATAATCAATACATAGAAATTGAAATCAAGATTCATATTTGTGTATTAAATTACAAACCTTCTTATTACTGAGTACATTAAAAGCTTGTAAATCATCAATAAGCCAAGAAATAAGCCAATACATAATTCAGATTTGTTTTTTTTTTGAAAGAGATGTAATCTTATTTAAGGTTTGTTTAATTGTTGGCTGATTTGTTTAAATCAGTGCAAAAGTTGGAGTTTTTGAATTATTGGATTTATGGATTTGATGAACAACATGCAAATATAAAGCAAGATTACTTGTACTGGTTTGAAGTTCAAAAAAATGCTACTTTTAAATTTTTTTTCTTTTGTATTAATTAGTACACTATATTTTCTTTTTTTTTTAAGTCTAAAAGTATCGAAATATCAGTTTGTTCAGAAAGGTAATCTTTTTCTGCTAGATTTATTTAAAGGTTGTTCATTTTTGTGTATAATAGCTGATAATATTTCCTTTTTAGCCTCTGAGCTTTCATCCAAATCATCAGATTTTTTACTACTTTCTAAATTCTTATTATATAAATTAGCATCATATAAATCATCATATATTTGTGATGGATTTGATAAAAAAGAAGACATAAAAAATTCATTATTTTGAGAATCCTCTATTATGAAAAAATTAATATTGGAACTTTTTTTTGAATTTGATTATATAAGCATTGATTTATTTATTTGTTTATTTATTATTTATTTATTTTTTTTTTATTATTATTTAGTGATAACAATAATTCAAAAAATATACTCAGAATGTATGATTTGGAAGTAAAATAAAAGATTTATTTGAAGAACATATAAGAAGTTTCTTATTAGCAAGTTTCATTATATTAGGGCTTTGGATTTATAAAGAGAAGTTAATTAATAACATAATCTGTGATTTAATGTTTAACATTTTCATATTCCTTTGCATAACTATTCTTACAGCCTTCTCTTTTTTAGTATTATTATTTTCTTATAATTTATAACTATGATTTTTAATTAATTGACTTTTTGAGTTAGCAGCTTGATACATTAGCGATATCAAATAAATCAGTTGAAAAAGTTATAAGCTTATGCAATATTACAGTAATATAAATATTGCCAAGAAAAAGTCAGGTTTTAGGTTTGTAAATTTATAATTTATTTGAAAAGCATGATCAATGATTATAAAAACATATATGTTTTGCAATTAATAGATATACTAATTTTTATTTATAATTTTTTTGATATAATCAATGATTAAAATTTTACACATTTGCCAAAATTTAAAATAAGCTTTTCTCTGCTAATTGAAATATAAAATATATTTATATGTCTTTATAAATAGTATTTGTTTTAATAATTTAAATAAAATAAACAAATTAACTCAATTAAATATTCAAATAATCTTCAAAGTTAATGTATGAATCAATATGTAATTATCTAATTAAAATTAATGTTTATATTTGTACAATGATAATATGATATGAAAAAATTTTTTTGTGATACTGAGAACTTTGTTTGCACAGGTTCTTTAATTAATTATAATTAGATAAAGCAGTTACATCATAGCTTTATCTATTAGCCAAAATAAAAAATTCTTTACTTTAATAGACACTCTGTTTTGGCTTATTAAAAGTTTGTTTTTTAATACATTTTAGATCAATTTTCTGAATTGTATTATTATGATATATGTATTATTGTTATTAACTATTATTAGCCATTTAGCTGGTTAATGAAACTATCAGCCAGCTAAGTGGCTAAGTGGTCAGCTAAGCAGCTAGCTTAATTAGCTTAGAACACTAATATCTACAATGTTTCAAATAAATTATAAACAAACTATTAACCTAAAATATAAAATACAAAAAAAAAAACAATACTTTAAACTCAATATAAACAATTAAGAAATTTAAGCTTTTTAAAACATTCATGCAGATTTATATAAACCTGCTCCAAAATATTTGTCATCTTTTTTATTATCCTTCTTAGAAATTCTGCTAATACAAAATACAATATCTGACTTTATATATTAAAACCAACTCATAAACTTTTACAAAAAATTACTATTTATTAATCTAGCTAATTTATATTTTTACACTAATACCTTCATATTTAATTCACAAACATACAACATCTCTACTGACATTGTCTAAATTTTGAAAAATAATACAGATTAAATTTAATGCCTCTATAACTTATATATTAAACTTTATATAAACAAAACTAGCAGCACTCATTTCTTTGTTTTTTATTTTATCTATTAACTATCTAATTCATATTTATTTTGACAGTCTATCTACTATACAAACTCTTACAAACTTAACATCTTATAAATATAATTTCCAAACTAAACAAAACAGTTAGAATATTATCCATATTATAAATTATCTAATCAAACTTAAAAACATTAACTACATTATACATAAAGTCAAATTACATTCAAACAATACTTTATATAATATAGTTAACATCTTAGCCAAATATAGTGCTAAAAAAACTGAACTAAAATTTAACCTTAACTATTTTTATTTATCTATCTTTTTTATTTAGAAAAAAATATTAATTATATACAAATATTATAAATTTTGCAAAAACCTTTTTTCTATCTAAACATTTAACAAATTTCTTTAATTCAAACCATTATAAAACCTCTTTACTATTAATATTTTACTATTTACTGAAATTATTAATTCCCAAAATTCTAATTCAAAACTCTATTCTATTAGAAATTAAATACTTCTAAATAATTTACCAACAATATTAAATTTAAATATTTGTTATTCTCTACTATATTTAACTTCAAACTACTCACATTGTAACCAATATGAAAATACTAAACATTTACTTTAATGCTTATTTTACTCTTACAATCTATAAAAATTTTTTATCAATAAAATTACCAACACTTTAGACTTCTTAAACTTCTTAGAAGCTTCACTATACACAATAAATTCTAACATATATAATATAATATTTCTACTTATTCAGAGTACAATAACTCTCAATCAATACAAACAACTTTAACTAATTCTAAAAAAACTAACTAACAATTTTCTTATTTTCTTATCCAACTTTCTATTTAACTAGTTTAACTTTACTATTTGACAAACTCAAAATATTAAACAATATGAGGTCTGTGTCTTAAATTTTTTTTTCTAAAAATAGATTTACTATGTTTTTCTTAATAAAAATCTTGTGTAATAATGTCTTGTAGGTTTATTTTCAAGACACAGACCCTATATGAATAAAAATCAATATAAGGAATTACTGTTTTTACTAAAAAAAAACAATACTTAATTACTTATCATACAAACTTCCAACTTTAATAACAATATATTTATATTTAATACCAATATAAACTAATTTATTTTTAAAACACTTTTTCAAAATTTTACTATATATACTTGCTTTTATTAACTAAAATAATCCTAAGGATTTCTTTTACTCTCTTTTGTAGTTAATAATTATAATAGTTGATTTAACTAAAAACAGAAAATTAAAGATTAATATTATACTAGATGTTATTAATATATATAATATAACTTATCTAAACTGATATACATAGTGGCAAGTTTTTGTATTAGTTTTACAGATTATCAGTTTTGAAATACTAATAATTTATTAGCTATATAGCTATAAACAAATATGATTAATTAAATTTATTTTTTATTTTATAATTTGATATACAAAAGTTAATTTAAGCTAATTAAATCTGTTTATTTTATCTGTCAAATCTGATGTCTTATAAATATTTAATATTTAAATATTAGTTATTAGGTTTAACAGATTATTAGTTTTGATTTATAAAACAGTTATAGTAACTTAATTTTTTATCAGTTTTACAGATTATCAGTTTTGACAGAATCAGTTTTAACAGGTTATACTGTAATAACAATAGTATAGTTTAGAAATATTTTATTTATACATTTATATTCAATTTATATACTTATGTATTACTATTTTTTCTATTTAATATTAGATAATAAAAAAAAAAAAAACTAAGTTCAAAAGATGCAAATCGTAGTGATAGTAGAAATTTAACTTAAGATACATGCTATTAGCATCTAAATTAAGAAGTTAGAATTTTGATTTGAGATATATACTATAAGATATCTTTTTGATAAATCAAAAAAACAACTTAAAAAAAAAATAACAATTTAAAAGTTATAAAAATAAGTTATAAAATATAAAGAAAATATGCAAATTATCTAATATAAACAAATATAATACAAAATTCAAGTTAGATGTAAGTAAGATACAATAAAAAACTTTTTTTTTTTTTCTTAAGCAGTCATGTTAGTGCTTTATTAAGATTTTGGAATTACATTTGCAATTATATAAATATCCTTAACTATCAAGCCTAGTATCATCTGGCCATCCTAATGGTACCTAAGTGCAATCTGCTGCATTACTTCAAGCAGAAGTAAGCTGCTCATCTGACTACTTAAAGTCCATAATAAAAGGGTCTTCTCCCTTTCATGACAAGCTCTAAAATTGTTTTTTGTGCTTCTTTTCCAATTTGTTTTTCTTTTTTTTTTTCTTTTTTTTTTTTTTCTTTTATTACTTGCTGATTTGGTTTTCCTTTTTTACCCAGTGCTTTTCTTTCTTTTCTTTTTTCTCTTTTTTTTTTTATTCTACCTGTTATACCTTTATTCTTCTTTTATTCATTAATCTTTTCATATTGAATTCTTCACACTTGTTTATAAAATGTATCCTAGGCTGTTCTTGCAATTATATTCATAAACTGCTATCTTGATTTTGTACTTAGGAGCTGCCTCAATCTGTCTTGTGTTTCTTTTGGAATAAGACCTTTAATTAGTGCCTCTC